GTTCGGATCCCATATAGAGACCGGTCCGCTCACTGGTTGAAGTATGAATTCATCTGCATCTACTGGACCAAGTACTACACACTCCAGAACCCAATCATCGAGGACTTTGTCAGAAAACAACTAAAAAGAGAGAGGTACTCGACCACTGCTTGCCCACCAAGGCTCACAGAAAAAAAGAGAATCAAGGGGGAAATAATATAGAGTTTTATGGGTTGGCTTTATTAAGCAGTAAGGCTGACATGGTAGTTGAGCATTGAACTCTGATACTGACCCAGCTGGCATCCCAGGTTGACAGCCTATCAAAATCATGGGGGGCCTTAGGAGATATAAGCCTTGTGCCTGTTCCTTAAGCCACCCCTGCACTCTACCTCAGCCTTCTTGCTCTCAGAAGACCATTTCAGTGCTTTTTAGAGATAGCATGGGAGCATGGAAAGAATCTTGGAGACCTAAGTGTAAATTTCAGCTCTGCCATTTTCTCACCTCTGCGAGCCTCCAATTCCTTATCCGGAAAGCAGTAGTAAACTGGCACCTACGATGCAGGACTGTTGTGAGGATCGGAGAAAATCTATGTTAAGGGCCCACAGTATCTAGCATATGGTAGATGCTGGGTAAATGCTCACTATTGTAGCACACGCAGCCGGTGCCGCACTTGTATCCCTTGTCTTTGTGAAGACTGGCTCAACTTCCACCTGTCAGCACCCACATCCCTTTGCCTGAGGGTTTTCCTCTCACCAGCAAACCCGCCCCCAAAGCAGCCCTCAACCAATGACTGGTGAGAGTTGGTGGATAAATACACCAGCTCCCATACACCTCTGATGGAAGCTTCACACTGTTTCCCAGAGCTCCCCAGTGGGACTTAACCTCCTGCTCTCCATGGTGGTGATTACCTCGACACTCAGCCTTTAGTGGCTGCCTTCCCCTCCTGTCTCACTCTCCTGCTCCCTTCTTAGTGCTTCCTGGGATATCCTTCCAGATAAACCAAAACCTTATCTGGGATCTGCTTCTGGGGAACCCCACCTAGAAAACTCTTTATATTAAAAAGCTCTAGGGCCTGCCCGTGGCTCACTCGGGAGAGTATGGTGCTGATAACACCAAGGCCACGGGTTCGGATCCTGTATAGGGATGGCCACTTATCTCACTGGGTGAGCGTGGTGCTGACAACACCAAATCAAGGGTTAAGATCCCCTTACCGGTCACCTTTAAAAAAAAAAAAAGCTCTAGGCCAGTACAAGCAATATCACAAGAATTCTTAGTGTTCTGTTATGTTGGGTCTCTTTTTGTAAGGAAGAAAACCCAGGTGTACTAGTCCGTTTCTGTGGCTTGTAACAGAATACCCAAAACTGGGTAATTTAGTAAGAAATGAAATTTATTTCTTACACTTGGAGGCTGGGAAATCCAAGGTCCAGGAAACACATCTGATGAGGGCCTTCTTCTGGGTGGTGACTCTCTACAGCCGTGCATGATGTCACATGATGAGGAAATGGCATGGGCAAGAGAGAGCTAACCTTCTCACCTGCCCTCCTTAGAAAGCCATCAGAATCATACCCATCACTCCATGAATGGATTAATCCATTCACTACGGCATAGTCTTCACAATCCAATCACTTCTCAAAGGTCCTACTTTTTAAATAATTGCATTTTCTACCCTCTTCACACTGTTATAGTGGAGATCAAATTTCCAATACATGAGCTTTTGGAGGACACTTTTGACCCTTAGCACCAGGTCTTCTTATGAAAAGAGGGTTTATTATAAGGATGCCCAGAAAATTGAAGTTGGAAAACCATCAGGCCCTGAGGCAGACCTAGAGACTCTCTCCCTCTCTGTCATTCTCTCATGGCCCATTTGCTCTTCTCCCCTTCCCTGCCTCTGCTCCTCTCTCCACACCTGTCCTGTTCCCTCTTCCTCCCTGTTGGGGAGTCACCTCCATCATCCCTGGTCCAAACCCCAGAGGAAACCAGTCTGATCACTAGACACAGGTCCTGCATGTCGGGTCACTGATTGGTCACCTGGCAGCCAATGGAACGAGCCACTTTGGTGATCCCTGCCCCATAGGACAGCCTGGTGCTACTCCCTGACTATTTAGAGAAGACTATTTCAGGAAGCCAAGGATACTGGGAATAGCAAGCATGGAGCCCAAGTGTCCTGTTCACTCCAGTAGCCTGCTATCACATTCTATCACCTAGATAAAGTCGCAGTTCCCTCCTAAGCCAAAAACTCTTGGAGTACAAAGGTTGGGTCTTAATGAACTTGGCATTGGACACATGCAATCATCCCAAGTGGCCCAAGCAGGCTGTTAGAACTCCTTCAAGCCAATATCTTTAAAATACTCATTCAACATTTATAAAGAGGAGAGACACTTGGAGGCAACCCAACCTCTTCTCTGTTGAGGGAGTAGATGGATAAGATTTCCATCTGTTGGCTATGAGAACTTAAGGGGTCCGTGCCTCAGTTTCCTCATCTGTAAAATAGGAACAAAAATAACAATAATAATAGCCCCTACCTAATAAAATTGTTGGAAGGATTAAAATAGGTTAATTCACATAGAGTTTGGCCCAGCGCTCCAATAAATGTCAGTAGGTGGTGGTGGTGGTGTTACTGTTATCCAAATCAATTCAGCAGCTCTAACCTCAAACTTGTGTAGCTGCTCTGAACTTAAAAGGCTCACCTGTCTAAGTGGGCATCTGTTATTGCTCCAGAATGCCTCTTGAGGCCTCACCCCCAAAATTCCTTGCCAATACCTAGCATACTCTCCCTGAGAGGAACTTTTGGAAATATGACCATCTCCATCTTGTTACTCTCCAGCAACGTTTTTGGGCCCTCCTGGACTGACAGTCCTGGGCTCTGGACATAGCAGATTCTCAGTGGTTTGAACAGATGGTTGCTGAGAAGGCTTCCTTCTGGCTTGCAGGCTTCCAAACCAGAAAGAGGCTGGGCACCCTCTCCCTGTGTTGCAGGCCCATCATCCTGGATCCGGCTGACCCCACCCACAATGTGGCAAAAGGGTACAGATGGGACATAGTCGCTCAGAGAGCCTGCCAGTGCCTGAAACAGGACTGTTGTTATGACAACAGGGAGAACCCGGTCCCCAGCTGGAACGTGAAGGTAATGACTCTTCTCCCAGATGTCAGGGGCTTAAAGCTCAGGATGATATAACTATATAGTAATTACTTATTCACTTCTGTGCCAATGGAGAAGAGGACTATATATGTTTGTATGTATATACATACATATACACACATATATATATATTATTTCTCCCCCTGTGGCTGACCGGTACAGGGCTCAAACCCTGGCCCTGGCCCTTGGTGTTATCAATACCACTCTCTAACCAACTGAGCTGACTGGCCAGCCCAGAACAGAAATTATTTCTCCCCCTGTGGCTGACCGGTACAGGGCTCAAACCCTGGCCCTGACCCTTGGTGTTATCAATACCACTCTCTAACCAACTGAGCTGACTGGCCAGCCCAGAACAGAACCTTAGAGTTAGAAGGTTTGAGGCCCAGCTGTACTATCCACCAGCTCTGTGAACTTGGGAAAATTGTTTGGCTCTCTGAGCCTCAGATTCCTTATCTTTAAATTCTTGTTCTTTTCTGTGTTTTTCTCATAACCTACTGGAAAATCAGTTCCATGTTCCTAATCATTCTTTGCATGAGCTGAGACCAGCCAAGTCAACTCAACCTGCTGTTTTGTGACAATACTGGGCTTGGGGCTGGTGGGGGGTGGGGGCCAGGGGGCAATGGTGGTGCAGAAATAGGACATGGCCACTACTCTCAAGGAACTCACCCCATGTTGTTAGGAAGCAAGTCCATGAAACAACATTGCACCAAACTGCTGGAAGGAATTACTAGAGAAGACAAGATACTCAGAAAACAAAAAATGTTAAGTAATATTATTAGGTAATACCAAACCTAGGTACAGGCAAAGATCATAAGAATCTATTTTATCCACATTGTGCTTTACAGTTTATAAGGTGCTTGTCCAGGGGCTGTCTCAGCGGATCCTCACAGGCCATTCTGTAAAGTAGGAAGGTCGAGTATTACCTTTATCTTTATTATTATTATTACTATTATTGCCATTTTACAGAGGAGGAAACAGGCTCAGAGAGGTTAATTAACCGAGGTCATACTGCTAAGAGGTAGCAGAGCTGGGAATCCCACCCACGTCTTTGTAGGGCTTTGGAAACAGAGAATAAATGTTATCTGAAGTCACCAGAGATTCCTTGAAGAAGTTAGGGCTTAAGGTGAGCCCTAAAGGCTGGGGAGGGATTCAGATGCTCAGAACAGAGGACACTCCAGGTCAAGGGCCAGGGTGGGGGCCCAGGGGCAAAGGAAGGGAGGTAGGAATAAGCAAGGTGTGTGCAGGGAACAAGAGACTGAGCTGCTCGGACCACAAGACAGGTGAGGAATCGGATGCTCTCTAATAAGGTGGGGCCCACTGGCCAAATGAGGCCCATGAATGAGATGAAAAAGAATACCTCTGGATTTTTCCTGAATATAAAAGCCACTGTGCAAAGATTTGTATCTTGAAAAATCAGGAGACTTGGCAATGCTAGGTTTATATTCCTTCTTGAAAGGATCAGCTAGAGGCCCAGTCCTCTCCAGCATCTTCCAGGTGGTGTTCTTCAGCCACCTGGGACTCTTGGGTCCTGCAGTGTGGCCCTGGAGGTGAAGAACAAAGACTCTGGAGTCTGACTGACCTGGGTTCACACACCTGCTCTGCTCTTTGCTACCTTTGTGATTGGTGTTGAGTTCATCACATAACCTTGCTCAACCACAATTTCCTCATCTGTAAAATGGGCATAATAGTAGAACCAACCTCATAGAACTGATGCGAAAATAAAATGCTTTAGAGGATGGAAGGGGCCCAGCATAGAGCCTGGAAAGTGGTTGGTATTCCCTCATGTTTGCTACTGATGTTGAAAAGATGAGGACAGGTGAAGGGAACTTCCGCACATCAGACAGAGAAGTGTGGACTTACCCTCTCTCCCTCTCCCTTCCAGAGGGCACGAGACATCCAGGTGACAGTGGAGCAGTGGGGTTACCCAGATTTAATTCTCTGGGTGAACCCTTATGCACCCATAAAGAAGGTGAAAGAGAAAATCCAGCGGAGTCGGGCCTACTCGGGCCTGCAGCGACTGTCCTTCCAGGAGCCTGGTGGTGAGCGGCAGCTCCTCCGCAGTCACTGCTCCTTGGCCTATTATGGGGTCTTCTCCAACACCCGCATCTGTATGCTGGAGACCATCCCCCCCGAGATCCAGGTCTTCGTGAAGAATCCCGATGGCGGGAGCCATCCGTACGTCATCCACCCCAACAGCTTCGTCCTGGGCCTGAAGCAGCAGATTGAAGACAAGCTGGGGCTGCTCAGGAAGCAGCAGCAGCTGGAGTTCCAAGGCCAAGTCCTGGAGGACTGGTTGGATTTGGGGCGCTATGGCATCCAAGACAGTGACACCCTCATCCTCTCCGAGAAGAAAGAAGGAGAGGCTTCACTTCCAGACAGCTAGTTTCCTCTGGGAATCTTCTCTGTGCATTTCTGCCACCGAATCCAGAACCACTCCTCCAGTTCTCTGCGGGGAGGTCCCGTCTCTTCACCAGCTTTATAAAAAGAGGTGAAGGAAGCTAAATAAACAAACGGACAGTGGCCAGACCATATGTGACAATAGCTTGTTTTTGGTTTTGGTTTTTTTGGCAGCTGGCAGGTACAGGGATCTCAACCCTTGACTTTAGTGTTATAACACCGTGCTCTAACCAACTGAGCTAACCAGCCAGCCCACTGACAATGGAATTCTGACCCATAACCTTCTGTAGCAACCATCTAGGGAGGCCAAATCACACCTCTGCATCAAGCAACCCCAAACCATCAGAACTCGGTCAATAATCACCAGCTTTTCTAATTCCCTACCCCATTCCCACCACCTCTAATTTAAGACCAACCACAGAAAGCCAATAATCTCCTCAAACCAATCACATAGATAGCCCTGCTTCTAGTTAGCCCACCTCCAGCTTCCCCACACCTACAACTTCAATCAGGGCATGCCTGAAGCCTTCCCTTTCTTCCCACTATAAAATTTTCCCATTCCCCTGTCTGCCTTTGAGTCTCTGTCAAAGGCAAGGGATGGTGGCTGCTTTCTTTGCTATAGCAAGGTGAGAATAAATTGCCTTTATTTGTTCTCATTTGGGTGTTCTTTGTTTATTTCCACAGGGGCTAATGCTGCCCTAGTGGTTACAGCATAATCATTTGAGCCTCTTAACTCTGGGAAATGAGGACTGTAAGGAGGCTGAGACAAAAGGAGGCCAAGTCTGGGAGATTGAGCATGATGCAGTGTAAAAAAATCCCCTCAACTCCTGAAACCCACACACAAACAGTACATAATCATCCAGAGACTTTAGG